AAGCTACTACCTACGATCGCTATTTGCACCGGCATACGTATAACGCATATATATAACGATAGGAATTGCGCGGGGCTCCTGCCTTGCGGGGGAAAATAGACCTCTAGCTCATTGCGCGAAACGCGAAAGAGGCCGATCCCGGGGATATCTCGCCGGGGATATATGTATATACGGAAAAGGGCTACGGCCCACGCGCTGCATTGAATATTCAAAGTACGATCGCACATGCACATATAGATATATCCGATCTACAGGCGGCAATTCAATCGTAATCGCACGTATACATGGTGCCACACACACACACATACATATAGTCGGTGGCAGCGCGAAAGGGATGATTGCATTTCTCGGCTTCTGCTTGATCCGCAATGCGTAATAGTTCGACACAGAATTCGCTTATTACTAACTGCAAAAGTCGTCGCTCGGCGCGTACCCCATAAAAGCCACCGATTAGTCACCTGCTCGCAGCGCGTAATATATAATGGCAGATTACTCGACGAGCCGCGCGTTATCGCTCTCGAATAACATTATTACTCGAGTTCTTATTTATACACACGATCCATCAGCCTTCGACGCGATATTAAATCAACGAGGCGTATCGCAACCGCATCGCCGCCAAGTGTATTATAACGAACGAATGTTTTTTTTTTTCTTTCGTTGTCCACGCAAACGCCAACTTCTGCTTCATTGTGTGCGTGAGAGCATTGCATTATGAATTAAATTTCGCGACTGCGTCGAGTGCGCGCTTATTATACTACACTGGGCTGTAACTGCGGCGCGTTATGTATATAAACTGCGTACTGCAGTATACGGTATATACAGCAGGTACTCTCGCGCCGGCACTTGGCAAGCCCGAGGAAAGAGAGAAGAGAGAATATAATATATAATATAATGCAAAAGTACAGAAGCAGCAGCAGCAGCAGCAGCAGGTATATAAACCTAAAGCTTTGCAGAAGCAGTAGCAGGTATATATATAGCAGTAGTAAGCAAGATCCGTAATTTAACTCGTTCCAGCAGCTAGCGTAGAGAAACAACAACAGCAGCAGCAACGACAACATGCACGGGCCAGCGCACTGCAAGCCAGCCGAAGAGAGAGAGAGAGAGAGATAGAGCAAGGCAAAGAGTCTCGTGTCAACGCGCCGGAAAGTTTCGCTCGCGCTGCATTTCGTAACTCGAGAGTAAAACGCACCGCATATACACTGGCTCATCCTCGCGGCTGAGTCATTCATATACAGCACATACTAGCGTACATCGTGTGTTTGTGTTCATGCACTCGTTACAAAAGCTATATTACTCGCCCTGGTTTTTTTTTTCTCTTACGTACATAATATTTTATGCGACCTATGCGAAAACCACACGAGAAAACATTCGTCAAAAAGCACGTGCCGCTGCCGCCGCTGTTGTTCATATATATAGCTGCCTGAAAAACACGACGACGAAAGGAAAGACGGCAAAATAAGCCAAATAGTCGAGTCGATTAAGGTCTCGTGATACATAGGAGGTGCAGCAGTATATATATGCACACGTGCACACACAAGCGAGAGCTGTAAAGCGAGCTTATAAAATTCCCACATCCCGAGAGCAGTGCAAGTACGGTATAATATATTGCAGTGGAACAGCAGTACACAGGCCGCAGCTAGTGCATCTATATAGCTGCTGCTGCTGCAGTACAGAGAGCATTAAGTCGAGAGACACAATGATTAATTCTCCGGCGCGCATCTTTAAAAGAGAGAGAGAGAGAAGAGAGAACTAGAAAGGAAGGAGAGAAAAAGTCCATGTGTATAAGGAGTGCACAGCCGTCGTCGACGTCGACGACGGCGTTGGCCTCGATATTATATGGAAGAAATTCCATAAGACGGCGCGAGCGAGCGAGAAATAAAAAAAATATATATATATGAGAGCTGAGAAAAAACAGCATAACGCGCGTACAGCTAGTGCAGCGGCGTACACCTATATCATGTATACCTATAGATAATAAAAGTCGCGCGGGCGCGAATATATCGAGAGCTGTTCGTTTCGAAATAGATTTTGCGCAGCAGCAGCTGCTGCTGCTTGTTCAAAGTCCGGTTTGTGCCTCCTGTGTGTATGTGTGTGTGTTATCAGTATTTTATATACTGACGTGCTGCACACCTATTCCGAGAGATATATATATATATATAGGCATGTGCACCAAGAGCTCGAGATTATATATTTTTCTTTCTCCGCGGCGCCGAATGGCTAAAATATTTCGACACCTCTTTGGAGCGCGCCCCGTATAATATTGTGAAAAATTCGCAAAGCGATTTATAACAACAGCTCGGAGTCAGCTAAACGTAAGAATTGTTATGATGAATCAATATATATGTGTGTCTCGATAATGAGACACGCGTTAAAAAGGCGATCGTCTTTCGCTTCACGTTATATATAATAATATAATAATAAGCCGCCTGTACATTAATATACGTATAACGTGTGCACGATCGCAAAAAAATTATAAACAAGATTTCGTTACGCGATCGCCTCGCGCGATATCATAAACGCACAATATGGCTCATTGAAGCTCGCAACATATATACGATGATATCGAAGCGCAGGCGTGATCGTTCCGAACAATAAAGTTGAGTGTGCATGTGTGTGTGTGTGTGTGTGTTTGAGTCGAGCGGGTTATATTATGCATACACTCGCACACACACACACACACATGCGAGACGTCCGCTTGGCATCGAATCGAGGTTCCTCGAAGCATTGGCTAAGCGTTCCGCGAATAAAGTCCATAAAAATTATCGCCGATTGAATTTCGCACGTTAAAAAAAGGCCACATCGCATCGCAGCAGCAGGACAGAGAGCCGATAAGAGAGCGTCGTCGTCGTGCATGGCCTACATCGTGCGTTAACTGCCAGCACGACTATACGGCAAAAGCGAGAAATTAAATCGCCGAGCGCGTGTAATTATTGTTGACTTTTCGCGGGAGTCTCTGGCGCAAAATATTCTATCCGTATATATACGGTTCACGCACCGTATATACTCAGTAAATGTCGTCGTATACGCGCGAAACAAAACGAGCTGGCGAGCCAGAGCAGCAGCAGCAGCAGTAGTTTTCGCGTTAAAGTCAGTTGCGCGACACATTCCAGTTAAAAAGCTTAGAGAGAGAACTTGGAAAGGCCGCTAGGTTCTGTGTACGTAAAGCTACCGCTGGGAAGAAGAAAAAAAATTATACAGCCGACTCCTAAACGCGCTACGGCACTTTATAGGACGCGACACGTAACTACAGGACAACGCTGCTGTCGAGCCCTGTGCGCAGCAGTTTACGCGCGCGTACAACTATGCGCGCCCATCGGAGTGTAGCAGAAGGTTCAAGTCCGAGGGTAAAAAAAAAAGAAGAAGAAATTACGCTCGAGCTCGTGCGAACTTCCTGGATGGCCACACAGCCGCGCAGACGACGACCTTATTATCGAGGCTCGCGAGTCGAGTTCCAATTTAGAGAGAGAGAGAGAGAAAGAGCGGCGTAATATTTTCAAGCGTGCGTATTATATACATAATATGAAAACGTCGAGGAGGTGGAGGCGCGACGCGGAACGCTCGCTACACATAGAGAGAGAGAGAGAGAAAATGATATATAATGTAACGCTCGCTCGCGCGTAATCGCCACTGAGGTGAAAAAAATTAAAAACGATGAAACAGCAGCAGCAGCAGAAGAACTGCTGTGCACCGCCGCCCCGTGTACGTATAGGTATATATATATGTTATAATTGGATCGAGGAAGAGAAGAAGAGCCGGAGAGACGACGTTGTATGTAATGCGCGAGGCTCACGATGATTCACTTTTTAACAAGTGCGCGCACTCACACACACATGTACTGTGTATGTAAGCTGTGCCGCGCCGAATGGAATTTGAAGCGATAATTGCTCGCGCATGCTATATAGCCGAGTGTATATGCTATATGTATATATATGCTGTGTCGACTGTCGAGAGTCAATGTCAGGCTCGCTCGCAGAGGCGAGCAATATACGGTGCAGGTATACATATTGTATATGGAAGAGTCATGTATTATAACACGCATGGTATATATACGGTGCAATGTACGCTATATACGCGGGATGCACACGCACGCGGCTGAACATAACACAAAGAGAGAAGAAGAAGAAGAAGAAGAAGAGAGTCGCCTCTCTCTCGTCGTGCATTGCTCGCGAGCAGACGCACAGACTCTCGGGCTGCACTGCACACACAGTGCAAGCTATATGGATTGCAAAATGACGACGCGGCGGCCCGAAGTCGCGCACCTTCTGCGACGCACGGCCCTTCCGCACTCGTATTATATACAGTGCATAGCAGTCAAGGTATTCGGCGATCGACATTCTTCTCTTTTGCTGCCGCTGCTGCTGCGGCCACGCACGAGTCGACGCACTGTAATATACAATGACTGCTTGTACGTGTACGCGTGTGTTTTTTTATACGCGTCCTTTAATGTCCGCGTAACAGCGACCTGCGATTCCTGAAAAATTGCGTCGTCGTCTTTCTCTCTCGTGCGCGTAGTGTGTACACTACGAAGATCTTCGTCTCATTGGCCACGCCAATCACAGAACTGACTTTTTTTTTCTCTCGGTATAACGAGCGTCGTAAGTCGGAAAAATGTCATCGCATGAGATTCGGAGTTCTCGTACTGTCGACACAATGACAGTCGCGTATCTGTTTGTGTTTACATCTGCGCGCTCGCGTCACGTTCCTTTTTTTTTCCGTTACGTCAGAAATCTGGAATCTCACGTGCGCACACACACACACACACAAATTCGTATCAAATGATTCGACAGGTCCGGTCGTAGGACTCGAGACGCGATCAAACGCACAATAAACATCAACGACACAAGGAAGCATTAAATAAGGAATTGCACGGTATTCGTATTTTATGTATACGAATTTCGGAGCATACATTTAGGAAACAGCGATACACTTGACACTTGCTTTCATTTTAGTAGTATAGCGGCAGCCGCGCGCTTGAGTGGAAAAATCTCGCGTTCACTCACCCGTTATTAAAGGTGCACGCGCACACTGCACAGGCAAGATCGGACCTTCTCTCTCCGCTGTACTATCCTCCTTCTTCTCCAGCTCCGGTCGAGCATGTAACACCACACTATAACACACCTATATGTTACACACCGAGCTGTATAATTCCGTAGGTAGCCGAGTGCGGATGCAGAGAACTGCGGTAGCCAAACTGCAGCTATATGTATTTCGAATTAAAAAACGATCGAACGATCGCTTGAGCACAAAAACGCGTGCGACACTGACACTTTTCTTCGTCGAACGAATTCAAAACAACAATACAATATTATAAAGAGCTATATATTATTGTAGCTCTGTCACTATGAAGCACTTTGGCAAATTCACACTTTTTACTCTTATTTTTACTGACATCGGTAAATTTTACACCGAATCGGCAGCGTCGTCGTGAAAATCCGCGTCATCTCGACAAACACACCGTGGGTAAACGATCTCACTGTGCATCGACTCGGATATCGAAGGTATATAGACTCGCGCCAAAAAACAACGAACGAACGAACGAACAACGAAACCTATATGCGAAACCGATTTTATGCACAAACGGTTATCAGAGAACGGAGTATAGTATAAAATTCGCGCGAGGTGGTGGGGGCAGGCAGTGGCAGGCAGCAGCACAAGCCGCTCGGCGCTCGCCGTCAGACTGAGAAAAGAGAGAGCGCGAGGCATCTGTCGAGGCTCCGATATATTCGCGAATACTGCGTTTATTTTATATAGTGTGTGTGTGTGTGTGTATGCGCCCGAGCGAGGGGTCGCAGGCCTTTCGCGTATATACGTATACCGCGTTGTATACACTTCTCTGCGCGTTCCGTGTGCAACTTCTCTCTCTCTTGCTATCGCCGCCATGCACGGTACACACAGTATACATACACACAGGCCGCGAACGTGAAAACGAGCCTCATGGCCCCTGCAACTATACAACGTAACGCGTGCATATAGTGTAAGACACACGGCGCTGGTGGTGATGGCGACGACGACGACGTTGGAGGTGGTGGTGGGGCGAAAGAACGAGTAGTAGAGCGCATACACACACACACACACACACACACATACACAGATGCAGCAACGTGCAGAAGTAGCATAAAGAAGCAGCGCACATCGTGTGGCTGCAGCAGCAGCTTATATGCAGCTTACAGCGCACACGAACCTTTAATATATATCTCGCGGAGACAGCAAAAGGGAAAGGAACCAAGAGCGCATTTTCTGCTGCTTTAGAGCTCTGCAGTGTGCGCCTTCGGGTTCTCTGTGCTGCGGAGTGGGAGACGCAGCTCCGTATCTTAACGACGCGTACACAGACGCATAGTTGCATAGATATATACACGTATACAACGCACGGGCATAAGTCGCGATCGCACGCAAATATTAAAGCGTTATACTATAGCCTCGGCTGCTGTTTGCCTTGCTACAAAATGTTGTAATACTTTTTAGCCGTTGGCGTATAATAACCGCTGCACAAGCGAAAATTCGACGCTTCGGCCGAACTGTTTTGCTTTTACGGATCGGCGCGGAACAATGCCGATACATTATATATTAGATATAGGCTCGTGACACCTTTGAGAAACACACAAAGTATAATAGTTTTGTTTTGTTTGGGCTCCGATCGTCGACTCTGCGACTTCGCGACGCCACCGTATACATACAATATAAGCTCGATGATCGATCAATCATTGTTAAATATCACATTAGCCGCTCGATGTTTCGCGGAGCAGCTCCGAGACAGGCTTTAACAGGTAGTTGCGACGCTCTCGTTCTACATATACAGATATATTATATTGTTATAACCTGTACGCGCGATTGACCCTGGCGTAATAATACACGAAACTTGCGCTGTTACGAGCATTACGTATGTATGATGATGATGATGATGATGATGATGATCGACCCAGTGTCGCCCCGACAATTAATCCTATCATTACCGTCTTTAAAAGCCGTCATTACCGTGACAATGAGTTTCAATAACCGAGTCGGCACTTTTTTTGATGCGCGCGAGCGGCTAATTGACATATTTTACGCCTTTGACGCGTCGATATATATATCTATATACAAATCGATGGGTACGGTATCGCACGCACGTTATATACGATGGGAAAAATCACGTCGCCAACTGTGTGTACCGCGTATCGACGTATTATACCAAAAAGTAATTCGAGATAATGGCACAATAGAGAGGACTTTCTTCGCGCGCAACGACGAGCCTATATCTGTGCGACCCAAATAATCCTCAAACGATCGTAGAAAATTACTTCGTTTTTTTTTCGGTACACACGTAATTTGTTTTCTTCTTAGTAGTAGTAGTAGTAGCAGCAGCACACAACTTTTACTAGTTTCAATTTGCCTTTAATACTCGTGCTCGTCAGCCGCAGCTATATACTACGAGTAGAGAAGTAGCAATTCTGAAAATTGCAAAACAAACACGAGGCACTACACACACACTTGTACAAACTGTCGTTAATGTTTGAGCAACTTATTTGCTCCAGCGCGCGCGCGTCCACGCATATGCAAACAAACATCCTTTAAAACGAGTTTAATTTCAGTGAATAGAAGAAGAAGAAAAACTAGAGAAAGACCCCGAGGCTGCTCTAGCCTATCATCGATTAATTGTGCCAGTCGCCTCCCCTGCGCTTTGTTTAGAAAGAATAATGACGAGCGTGATTTTTTTTGAAGGCGCCAAGTGTCACACAACAGCAGCAGCTATATAAGTTTTTACTCCGAAACCATCGAAACACAACTCTACACCTTCGCGGAAAGACATGCTGCAATATGAAAAAAAAAAAAAAGGAGAAGAAGAGGATAATTCTCGAGGCAGCTACTCTTCTCGTCTATTGAGGTTTTCAACGCCGCAGAAGGAATATTAGGAGACGAAATTTCGACGGCGGTTAAATGCGTGTTGCAGCTTGCAGATAGCCCCCGAGATTTGACGAGGTGCCGACGCGATGATTGCGCGAGGCACATAATAATCGTTTGGCTGACCCGCGCGCCGAGTCGACCCATTTTTTTTTCTGTGTTTCCTTCGGCGAAGTTTCTTCGAATGCACGATACGATGTATGGTCTCCTCTCCGGCTCGGTCGAGGTGTGAGCAAATGATTTTTGTGGTCGCAGACGGATCGGGGTTTCGAGGCAGTGTCATAAGTTTTTCGCGTCTCTCTGGAGAAACAGGTGCGATAAATACGAGGTCCGATTTACAACAAAGTGTCACGCGGAAACTATATATAATTATAGAAAGTCGTCCTCGTTGTGTTGACATTGAACGAGAAACAGCCAAAAAAAAAAAATAATAATAATAACGACGGAAACGCCGCAAGAAATATACTGATTGTTTTGGCGCGTTGACGATCGATAACGAGCTCGCGATAATATACTCGGCACTTGCAGCAGCTAACGCAGTTGCGCATCGAAATAAAGGCACAAAAAAAAACGAAGGGAATTTTAATTGCCGCCACCCCTCGTCGCTCTCTTCTGTGCTCGTAGTAGCGCGAAATTTTCTCTCTCTCGCGAACGAAACGTACAAAAATCTTCCCCTTCGACAACTGTATTACGTACGTAACACAAAGCCCAGTCACACACATACACGTATACGTATGTGCGTAAGTATTCGAATTTTTTTTTTGTGCCCTCAACCCTATCTCGCACGCAAGTCGTATTTCATTAAAGTGCGGAATGGGCAAAGGAAAAAAGTGGCGCGTGCCCCGTTGTGTGCGTGTGTTTCCGGAGCGCGCGCGCCATAGACAACGAGAGTATAGTTTTTCAAGTGTTTTACGCCGAGCAAGCTGCAGCGCGTATTTCAGATTAAATATTATCACTTTTGCTATCCAAAAATTGTTGCGTTAGCTAGCAAAAATGCCTTATCCACATCAGTTCAAGACAAATTATATCATCAATTTACTACTATATATGCGTATGGAAAATTTTTTTAACACTTGCTAGTTTACAATGCTCCATCTATTGATGAAATCAAAAATCTCTGGTTTCGAATTGAAAGTCAGAGTTACAACAATAACTAATATTAAGTGTTGGATGATTTTTCGGGGATAAAAAAATTTCGTTCTGACGATATACGTTATTAGTCAAATCTCACCGAAAAATTAATGTAACCGATATTGGATTTTATTTATGGTACTCCTGCATGAAATTTTTGTTAAAAACTGATGTATCAGGACTAATTTACTTTTTCACACAAGCTGCACAAGAAATGATTAAACAGAATTAATTCTTCCCTTTAATTTAAACACCGTCGGTTTTAACATAGATTTATTCTCTGTTCAATCAATTTAAGTCAGCTCTCACCGCTAGATGGCGAGTGCATGAATCTGCAAATCTGCAAGTGGCAAAGTAAAAATAATTGTATAACTCAATGGATTTAAGGCAGATGTATGAAATGTATACTCAAATGATTGATATTTTTTTTCAATGATCGTGACGGGCCTTGTCGAAAATCGAGGTAAATCCATTGGCCATTTTCAGACCACGCTGAAATGTTGAAGGTAGCTCGGAACGATCGAATCATCACGGTACCGTCGACTCGTGTTCTAAAAGTGAATTTCGTTCAAGTCGTTGCCGTTGATTTAATTCGACCGCGCGCGCCCAGGTAGCAAAGAGTACGCAGCTTAGGTAAAATAGAACGAATTAGTAAATTTAGTTGCTTTTTTTTCTGTAGCTCCGAGCTGCGAAAGCGGATGAAAATTCATTCGAGCAATTACGAGCATTTAATTAGAGATTCGTGGCGCAGGCGAAGTGCTATACGGGCGCAACCAAGAGAGTGTCAATAAAATTTAAATCAGTTCGACGTTATACGCGCGCGTCATATATATTATAGGCAGGCGCATAAAGATCCGATATTTTTTGTCCTGCTCGACTAAGTATCGATTAGTGTATCGCGAGAAAAGTATGTCGAGGGGTTTTTAATCCATTAAAAAATGAAAAACGAAACAAAAATCGATTGCCAGTCGCTCGTTGAATACATAAACGCAAGATGAGAAAAAATTTGTTATTTTTCAATCCCTCTCGAATTATCGGAGAATCGAAAACTCGATTAACCATATCATAATCGCCGTGTAAAATATGTATTATTTTTCTCTTTTTCCCGATGTCTGCGAGGCGTAATTAACGAGCCGCGCTACTGCTGCATGTGGCAAGTATGTATATATGCGCATAAACAAAGGCGGCCCCAGCGACGTAATAATAATATTTCAACCTCATTAATTATTGCCAAAGTCCTTTATTAATCATGGACGCGGTGGCGGCGGCGACGACGACTCGGGGCTCCGCTGCAGACGGAAGGCTGCGCTGCTGCTGCGGGGGCTATATTATTTACACAAAAGTGAAAATATACAGTATTACGATATCGATTATTTATTTACGCGTCCGCAGAGAGCAGCGCCGTGGTTTTAAGATATCGAGCGGGCCGGCTGACATGTAGGTCGATGAATTCACTTTTTAAAACCGGCTTATATACCCACACGCTCGAATAAATATATAAAGTCACATTGTTAATCTCGCGAGCCAGGAGCCCGTATATTGTTCTATTATATAAATTAAGAAAAAGCTTAATTCGGACGATCGAGCCAATTCAGCGGTTGCAGCGGCAGCAGCGGTGCGGTATCGATTTTCACGTCTCTCGTCGCA